ATTTCAAGCAAACACAATATTTTATACTACAGAAGAGGGCACTGACTGTTTGGCAAGTTGACTGATTACCCAAAGCACTGTCAATGAGAAAGCAATAGGACTTTTGGCAATGAAACAGTTTAAAATGCCACTTTTCTTCAATGTACTAGTTGATTTATTTGCTACAGGCTTCTCCATTTCAATCTGCCTGAAAACAATCTTTGCCACTCGGTATACATGTGGGATTCACTTAGTTACACATACACTAACGTTGACTAAAAGAGACAAAAAAAGTTGATGCCCTTCATCTTGCACTTAACAGGACTGACATGCAAGAAACCAAAAGGTTGGCAGCTTATAGTTTTACCATGGTCCAACCTATCAGTACTACTTTCTCACGCTGCAAGAATTGGTGTTCCTTTTCTAAGTTTGATTTATTGCAAGTCATTACTGATAAGTGCATGATTGAAAGATTAGACTTTGTTTACCTTTTATCAATGTTTAAGTTCCATATTATTAAGCAACTACTTTGTAAGATTATCAGCAATTAGTAAATAGGGTCCTGTCCATTTGCACGCTTTGTGAACTTGATGCAGATATACAGCATATCCAGTAAAGCTTTCTTGTAGGAAATAGCCATCCTGATCATATCATTGTTCACAATATATCATCGCAAGCTCGCTGAAAGTGCCTGGTTTACCTCAAATCACTCTGGAATGGTAAAATATCTCAAACATTTGAATAGCTTAAAAAAAAATGTCATATTGTTACTATACAAATGGCTACGAGAGTAATATTTTCCATTAACAAGTTACTGAGATCGGTCTGAAAAGGTGCCCTGTCGTCCACACAATTGAGTAATGTCCTGTATGAATGCCAACCAACTCAAAACCAGGAACATAGACTTTACATCTCAGTGGTTGCCTGTTGAACTAAACACAATGTTCTTTTAGTAGCTCATAATAAGCACTGAACTGTACTCAACAATTCTTCACTTGCAAAACCCAAAACAAAACATCTGCTGACAGATGTGATTACATGATTGGGCAACACTTGCTGAACAATTTTGAGTGTATAGCAACAACCAATTTAAGTTAATCAGTTGAATTTAAGAAGTGGCTCATTTATTCTAGCTATGAGCAAAGTACATTCATATCGAATTCCCTCCCCAACGGACTGAGAGTCATAGGTAGCAGCAGTTCAAGAAGGTAGCTCATCGCTATTTTCTCAAGGCCAACTAGGAAGGACAATAAATGCTGGCTAGCCAGTGACACCCACATCCTACGAATGAATAAATAAAACAAAAAAAGTACAGGGACTCATTCTCTGCATAGGAGTATGTCGAAGCCTATATCTCCAAAATTAAAATCACTCCTTTTTCTCTTCTTTCTTTGGTCTCCCATTCTAGAACAAACAAGGCAGTCTCTGTTCCGTTTCTCCATCCTTCACATTTGGTTGGAAGGTTGAGTGACATCTGCTCCCTCACGTACCATACTCTGGATGTTAATAGTGGTGATGGCATTGGAAAGTATGGAAAAATGGAGTCTAAATTTCTCACAGAGAAGCTTCAACTCACACCCATCCTGAAATCTGGAACACAAATCACACAGTCTGATGCCATTTAGCCCATTGTGCCTGTGCTGACTCACGTCCAAAGCATGAACTATTCTTATTTAAAACCTCTGTGTGATAGAAAGATGTAGGGGTGGTGCAAGTTCTCACGATGAAACTGCGTTTTACAACAAAGTTTACAACCAGGATCCCAACTACCTGTCAGGACAGGGAGAGGACAAAGTGGGAGGGCAGTGGTGTATTGGTACTGTCACTGAACTAGAAATCCAGAAACCCAGGCTAATGCTCTAGAATCAGGAGTTTGAAACCTATCATGGTGGATGGTGAAATGTGAATTCAATAAAAGTCAGGAATGAAAAGCTAATCTAATGGCAACCGTGATACCATTGTTTAAAACTCTTATCAGATTCACTAATATCCTTCAGGGCAGGAAATGTGTCATTCTTAACTGGTCAGTGACTCCAGACCCACAGCATTTTTGGTTGACTTTAACTGTAACCTGAAATGGTCCTAGCAAGCCATTCAGATCAAGGGGCAATTGGGGATAGGCAATAAAGGCTGGTCCAGCCAGCTACACCCATGTCAAATGAAGACATTTTTTTAAAAAATTGAAGAGTGGGGAACAAAGTTTTTGAGTTGTAAATGTCACTTTTACAGAGGCACCATGCTGGGCCACGTCCTCCTCACCAATGAGTTTCTCTCTCAGTTTATGCCAGAGAGGTGAGGTGACAAAGATAGCAGACACTTACAATTGAGTCTGCTACCTATCCCTGAATGAAGAATGAGGATATGTTTGGGAGAGCTCCGGAGGAGGGAAATATAGTACATGTGGAAATGAGATATTGAGCCCTTGTTAATAAGAAGCATATCCTCCAAAGGAAAAATGTTTAGTCCAAAGAGCATACTCTACACACAATTTGCAAGTATGGATAACTTACAGAAAGAGCCATCAGGAATGGATGCCAAGAAAATAAACCTAGAACAAGAAAAAGTGAAACCATCAAGTGTTGGTTAAGGTACATTCCAATAACACCTTCCTTATAATACTTGGTCACAGGTACTTTCACAGAATCACAATAATTTACAGTAAAGAGCAAGGCTATTTGACCCATCTTGCAGGTGCCAGCACTTTCCCAAAGGAATAATAAGTAGAAAGATATACTGAGCGAGATTGACCCAGCACTATCTGTTTTTACTAATGTGCTGCCATATATGGAAACAAGTGGAGTGGAGAATGGTATAGCACAGGAACAGGCTTTTCGACTCACTAGGTCTGTGCTGACCATGATGCCATTCTAAACTAATTTCATCTGCCTGTACACGGTCCATATCCCTCTCTACCCTGTTTGTTCATGTGTCTGTTTGAATACCTCAAACTTTCTATCTGCTTTCTAGAACCTTCCCTAGCAGGACATTCCAGACACTTACCATCCTCTATGTAAAAAAAAACGTTTCTCACACATCTCCTTTAAACTTTCTCTCTCTCACTTTAAACCTATGGCCCCTAGTATTTAACATTTCCACCCTGGGAAAAAGACGGACTATTCATCCTATCCATGTCTCTCATAATTTTATATACTTATCTGTACCCTCTCCAAAGCCTCTATGCCCTTCCTATAGTTTGGTGACTAGAACTGCACACAATACTCCAAATACGGCTTAACTAAAGTCTTATACAGCTGTAACATGACTTGCCAATTTTTATCCTCAATGCCCCAACCAATGAAGGTAAGTAACATGGGGAAGGGGCTCCAAGAGTGTGCATGGCCCCCATGGGGATCAGACTGGGTGTGTACACGCCTTGTTCACCACCATTTCCATTTGTGTTGTCATTTCAAGGAGCTATGGACTTGTACCCCAAGATCGCTCTGTATATCAATAGTCTTAAGGGTCCTGCCATTTACTGTACACTTTCCTCCTGCATTTGACCCCCCAAAATGCATCACCTTACTCTTGTCCAGATTAAACTCCAACTGTCATTTCTCTGCTTAACTTTCCAACTGATCTATATCCTACTGTATCCTTTGGTAACACTCCTCACTATCCAAGATGAAGATTGGCTTCTTTACATTCTCAATCAAGTCACTAACAAGCAAAAGCCCACAACCAAGTAGTCCTAAAGTGTGGATTACTTGCAGTCCTGTCAGTAAATAAATCCCAGTAATCAGATTGACATTGGAATGGTCAGACATGTCCAAGGTTTTGCCTTCATGTGCTACTTGGGTAAATGTACCATGGAGTATTCTGATGATTTAAGGTTAAATCTGAACCCCCATTAATGTGAGAGTGTTCAGTGTTCACAGTCCTGATAGCCCTTTTCAAACTTGTAGAGCAATGAAACTCCAGCAGAACAATCTGTACAGAATTGTCAGAACTGATGCTGGAGATCAAGGTTTGAGAACTTAGAACACAGAACAGTATAGCACAGGAACAGGGCTTTTGGCCCAGCATATCTCTGTTGATCATGATGCCATTCTAAACTAAATCCATTTGCTTTGTTGATCATTGTAGCCATGTTATAATTGCAAGGATGTAAGGGTCTTCAAAAGGTCATTGTTAACACCATTGCCACAACAGTGAAATACCAAATTAGAACATAAATTTCAAGTCTAACTTCAATTTATAGGTGTGTTCTTGGCTCCACGTTATAAGCCAAACTAACCATGACTGAGACATACCTAGTTAGGCTGGATTAGTCCATGCACTATGCAGCCCCACTAAAATGGAAACCATCCCAAGATGCTATCATACACATGCTGCTTCCACAGTACTTCATATGCCTGGAGTCTTTTCCACATGGGCAGCCATACATACCTGCAGCCTCTTCCCCATGGTATGGGGGGGGGGGGGGGGAAGGGAGGGCATGCACACTTGGAGCCCCTGCCTCACAGAAGAGGGAAAGGGCGCTACACACTTGTAGCCCCTTCCCTATGGGGGGGACATACACATAACCACTTCCCTTCCCCTTTGGGTGGGGGGAAAAAGACACAGCTGGAGCCTCTTCCCCACAGAGTGGGGGGTGGCTCACAGAAGACCTGGAACCCCTTCCCCATGTTGGAGGCACGCGGACCTGCAGACCCTTCCCCACGGTTAACGGTTGGGCTCGGCTCCTCCATTTGTCGAATACTCACTGCTGCCGGGCATCGAGACCAGCGCAATGACAATGGGGAAACCCAGGCTGAGGAGGTGGGCCGCTGTCCCCGCCACTTTCCGCAGAGAGCGGTACAACCATTCATCGCTGCTGGATTCCGCCATCATTCCCGGCGGATACAGTCAGTCTATGTGTACAGAGGGGAACCTGGAAACGCTGCAGGGAAAAGGGGGCGGGAGGGGCGTGATGACGACTCGACGAAGACGAGACAGCGTGATGAGGTTTCGGGGCGTGGGAAAAGCGTGCTGATGACAGTGCGCATGCGCGCGGTTGTTGCGTGATGAGGTCATGACGTAGCGGGCGGGACTGAGAAATCCAGGGCCCCAGCCTGGGCAGTGGGGTCATTGTGGGGTCACGGTTGGGGGGAGGCTTTGAACGGTCGGTAATGGGTAGCCGAATCGAGTGCGTGTTTTTCAGCGAGTTTCACCCGACCCTCGGGCCGAAAATCACCTTCCAGGTACCGAGGACTGACAGTAAGCAGGCACGACCACTCGAGGGGCCTCCAGTCCCACTGACAGGGCGGGTATCAGTCACATCTCATTGATGGTAGTGCCCCCTCTGTGTCCCCAACTGCAGAAAAACAGCAGCCACGTTCTCCACAAAACTCATCCTGCACTGTTGCTGCAAAGGAGTACAGATTTAAAGACCCACACTACTGCTGTATCTCTTAGCAGCTGTGGATCGCCCTAAGACTTTCTGCATGGCAACAGTGCCTAGATTGGGCCTGAAATGGTTTATTTCCAGCCAGAGGGGCTCAGCTGTTCTACTTGCGAGGACATGTGAATTGTTCAGATAGGGTTTTTTCCAGGTTCGGAATTAGGTTTAGAATTGTAGCATAGCGTAGCAGAGGCAATTCACCTCGCTTTTTCTCAAGTAAGGCTGCATGTTTTTTTTCCATTTGAACTAATGATCCAGTTTCCCCTTGATTGACCCTGTCTCCGCCACAATCTCAGGCAGTCCATTCCAGAATAAAACAAAGAGCAGCAGGTTTTAGAGACCTGAAAGAAATAACAAAAACAAGTTGTTGGAGAAACTCTGGAACGTGCAGCATATGTGAAGAGAAAACAGACTTGAAGGTCATTTCCAGATCCTGACCAATCAGTATGCAAAAAAACAGTTCTTTCATTTTGCCAATTGCCTTAAATATGTGCCCTCCAGTTTGGTTATTTTACTGAAGGAACAGTTTTTATCTACTTTGTCCAGACCCTCATGGTTTTGGATCCCTGTATCAAATCTGTCAATTGTTTTTTCTCCATGGAAAGCAGTCCTGACCTTGTCAGTTTATTGACATCAGTGAAATTTGCCATCCCTAGAACCTTCTTGTCAATCTTCTCAACCCCTTTTGATGACTGATTGTCAGCCACTCTTGAATTGTTTAAGGATTGTTTAATTAGTTTAATTCTTAAGTTTAATGACTTTTGTGCAAATTCACCAAGGTCCCTCATCTCTTGTAGGCCCTATAAAATTATACCCTTTATATTCTCTCTTTGTGTTTCATAAAATTAATAATTCACACTTCTCTGCATTAATTATCTGCAAGTTGTTTACAGGTTCCACCAAATGGTTTATTGCTTTTGAAGTTGTACACTATCCTCCTTCACAGTTAATTTTCCCCAATTGCAAGTTTTATCTCGTGCATTAATTTTGAAGTTGAGCTTTGTACACTCATCTAATTATTATACAATCTGAAGATCAGGGGTCTTACCACTAACCACTTGAATTACCACCTATCTTAAAACAGTCACACCTCATACTCAGAGCAAAATGCAAAGGGATCGTCAGTGGTGGTGAAGGAAAGATAGAAATGTGAAATGGGTGTAAATGAAGGTGTGAAAATGAAAAATGGATCAGCTCTGCTGTGAGTAAAGTCAGAAGGGTCCCGACCCAAAATGTCAACTTTCCTGCTCCTCTGATGTTGCCTGGCCTGCTGTGTTCCTCTAGCTCCATACTTCGTTATCTCTGACTCCAGCATCTGCAGTTTTTGCTATCTCACCTCATATTCTACTGCTTATTTGTGTTTCCAATTCCCCTCAGAACCTTCTGTATTCAGCCTGGTCTTGGTTGTATTATCCGTTGGAATGTTTGAACATGAAATATCGAAAATTTAGATTGAACCAGTAACACAGTGTAATTTTAAATTATTTTCTTGGCATCTTGTAGTGTTGAGTGGATTATGAATCTTTACAATAAATGCCTATCTGAAAATGTGAGACTTAGATCTCAACTTCTGCTTTGGAACTTGGCAGAAGACGTGTCTATAACTTTGGCTCAAGTTGTCTAGAAGAGGACAGACTTCAATATTTCTAATACCTGTCCCAAGGCATTCTGTTTAGTTTTACAATATTTTCGGAGTACTGCTTTTATTATAATGTGGGAAATACGGCATCTGTTATATGCGTAGTAAGCTCCCACAAACAACAAGATAATAAAAGCTGCGATCACTACCAGGAGATGGTGATGCAGCAGAACTGTCACTGGAATTGTAAGGTAGAGCCTAGGTTTTGTATTCCTGACACCCAACCTTTACGAGTCTGGTAGATTTTCTTCCATTTTTGTCCTCAGCTGTGTGAGACCTGACCATTTGGATCTGTTGGCCACATCGAATAAAAGCAGCTTAACTCTAGGGTGAAGTGGAGTTACATGTTTGGTGCCAGTTCTGGGGAGAAACTTTAAAGTGATAAATTAAAAGTATCAGACAAGAAGTTATGCAACATTGAAGTCTTTTCTGCCTACTGTCATATTAGCACCAGTATATCGGTAAGAACACTGTGGCAGTTAATTTATTCTGAGAACCTTGGCACAGAGCTCCTTTATTATTCAAAGTTACATTCTTCTTAAAGGCTGGTAGTCTGTTGACATAGCTTGTTTATTAGGTATTAGTTAAGCTTAAGTATTTCGGTATCAGCAAGAATTTATACTGCTTCAATTTTTGGTTGGTCTTTGAATCACATGTCTGGATCTGTTACAGGTGCCTGAGGAGTACATTTCAAGGGAGCTATTTGATACAGTCCAGGTATACATCATAACAAAGCCAGAGTTACAGAATAAACTCATTACTGTGTAAGTTGCAGGAATGACAAACCATTTACAAGCATGTCTCCACTTTTCATATTATAGGATGTATTTGCACACAAGTGGTTGTGTAGTAAGCTGGAACTTCAAAAAATCAAAATACTGTGTATACTGGAAATATTAAACAAACCACAAAAAAGTTGGGGAAGTTCAGGAGGTCTGGCAGCATCTTTGAAGAGAGAAACAAAGTTAACATTTCAAGCCGAGTTTAAAATGGACAAGGAGAAATTACCTCTGCCAGTGAATCTGTGGAATTCACTACCCCAGAGTGCAATGGATGCCAGGACAGTGAGTAAACGAAAGGAGGAGAAAGACAGACAGATTTTTAATGAGTAATGGGTTTAAGGGTTATGGAGACCAGGTAGGAAAGTCCAGTTGAGGCCGGGATGAGTTCAGCCATGATTGTATCAAATAGAGGAGCAGGCTCGAGGGCTGAATTTGCACACTCCTTCTCCTGGTTCTTATGGCTCCTGTGAAGATTTGAGGAGTCACAGACGCCTCAAATTCTGTTTCTGCCTCCACAAATGCCTCCAGTCCTGCTGTGTTTATCCAACATTTTTTGAGTTTGTTTGTATGATAAGCTGGAGCTCCTGAAGTGTATATTTTCCCCAGTACTTATGCCAACAAATAAACAGCAGTATGGCAAGTTAGAATCAAATAACAAGGCAAGAGGCCATTCAGCCCCATTGTGCTTATATTGTTTTATTTGTAAGAGCTATCCAATTGCTCTTTCTCATCTGTCCTTTTCTGTAGACCCACAATTACTTCCACAATTGAATCTTCTTCCACCAAGTTTTCAAACAGTGCTTTTCAGGTTGTAATGTGCTGCTCCAAGTAAAATTTCTCCTCTGTAGTTCTGATGATTTTACTGTTGGCACAAGTTGTATTAAAATTACAAATGTTGGCTTTATTTTGGTGTGGCCAGTTTTTTTTCCTGAGTATTGGAGACAGTCTTTCTAGGCCAGTGGTTGAGGATTCCTTTGCTGGTCTGTATGAGCAGGCTAAGCACTGTGTCTGCTGCCCACCAGAAGTGAAAAATTTACCTTTGTATTTGCAGCCAACACTTCTGACCCTGGAGATGCTGGAGCAGAGGCTGCTGGATTCATCCATTGTGGTGCTTGGGCATTTTAACAAGTTAAATTTAATTCTTAGCATTACCACTGAACTAGGAGCTGCTGTTAACCTTAAAACAGAAGACTTGTACTTACATAGTGCCTTTTGTGGCCTCAGATTGTCTAAATTGCTCCAAAGTCAACAAATTACCTTCAGGTACAGTCAGTGTTGTAACGTGGAATCACGGCAGCCAATTTCTTCACAGCGTGCCCCTACAGACAGCTTTGCAAATGACTAAAATATTCTTTCGGTGATGTTGTTCGACGGGTTAATATTGGCCAGGATATGCTCTGCTGGTCAAATAGGGCCGGGGATCTTTTGTGACCCACACAGAGCACAAAATAAACAGTGATGAAATAGGTAGAGGCCATCAAACTTAAGGCAGCTGGTATGACTTGTTAGATCCCATAGTAAAGGTGGAAATCTACATATCCTGTATAAGATTGCTTCTTCCTTCTCCTCTGCACCATATAAAGAAAATTGTGAATGTTTTTTGCTGTAAGTCTATATTTTTGTTAATCAGTTTTTTTTCTATGTTGTGAAGTACTTCTATGGATAAGAAGCTAATTGGCTGCCCCGTGTGCATAGAACACAAGAAGTATGTCCGCAATGCATTACTGTTCAACCTGGGCTTTGTTTGTGATGCAAAAGCGAAGACTTGCTCTTTGGAGCCAATCGTTAAAAAGCTGGCAGGCTACCTCACTACACTGGAGGTAAGAACAGCACAGAGCAAAGGCTATTCAACCTCTAGGAGCCATCTCTCTTGAAACTTGCTCGTCTTCAAAGCAATCCTAGACACATCTGAAAATTTCAAGGATGTGAAATGTTTACAGCTTCTTTTGACTAGAATTAGTAATGTGAAACAAATCAGCTGAATGGGTTAGTGCACTGAGCTTCAACCTGAGGCCTTGGCAAATTGAAGCATTAGCTCAAAGCAGTGTAATGAAAATCTCCGCTCTGTTATCAATAAGCTGTCGAATAAGGAAGCAAATTTGGTGGCATTTAGGATTAGATGAAGCAGCTTAATTTAATATTACATAATCTGATTTATGAAAAGAGCTTTCTTTTTCCAGCTGGAGAGCGGTTTCATCTCAAATGAGGACAGCAAACAGAAATTAGTCCCGCTAATGACCATTATTCTGGAAGAGCTGAATGCCCGTGGAGAGTGCTCGTTACCAATAGGTACATACGTGAGTACTTGGGCTCTTTGTGTAGTGTCCTACTTCCTTGATTCTATTCCCACTAAACTGCTGACCACCAAGGTTCCTTTATTGGCCCTAGATCCATTGTTCATAATTCTTTGTCCTCAGATACTACCTCTCCTCCTTCAAATCTGCCGTAAAAAAATTCTGGCCCTTTTGCTCCTGCAGGCTACTATCCACTCCCAAATCCATGCTCAGCTTTGCTGGAACTCCATTTTTGAAAGTCTTGTATCAGGTTTCTGCCTCCAACATAGTACTAAAGCAGCACTTATGAAACTCATAAATGACATCTGTTTGGTTGTCGAAAATAAACTATCCCTTATTATCCTTCTCGGTCTTTTTGCAACCTTTGATATGGTTGGCCATGCGATCCTCCTCCATCAGACAGATAGTTCCTCCAACTAAATATTGGAAAGATTGAAGCCATTGTCTTTCCTCCTTATCCCAAACTCTATTCCTAAACCACTGACTTGATCCCATAAGAAATAGGAATAGAAGTAGACTATTTAGCCCATCGAGTATGCTGCACCATTCAATCCTCAACTCCACTTTGTCTTATCGCCATAACCCTTGATTCCCTTATTAATCATATGTCAGTCTATTACAGCCTTGAATATTATTAATGTCGCAGTATCAACAGCCCTTAGTGATAAAAAAATTCCAAAGATTGACCACCACCTGAGAGAGAAAAATGTCATTCTCATCTCTGTCCTGTACTCAAAGATTGTGTCCTCTGGTCCTAGACTTCCCTACAAATGGTAGCAACCTATCTACATGTACTCTGCCTAGTCTTTTCTGTTCTTTCTACCAAATGTAAAATCTCACATTTCCCTACATTATATTCCATCTGCCAGTGTTTGGCCCACTCTCTTAACATGTCTGTGTCCCTCTGTAGACTCTTGTGTGTTACCCTCACCACTTGTCTTCTCACTTGTTGTTATGCCATCCGTAACCTTGGTTATAGTACATTCACTTCCCTCACCCAAGTCATTAATGTATGTTGTAAATAATTGTGGCCCCACCACAGATCCCTGTGGCACCCCACTAGTTACAGCTTGCTATCCTGAGAATGTCCCCTTTATCTCAACTCTCTGTCTTCTAATAGTGAGCCATTCCTCTCTTCATGCTAATATACTGCCCCCAAAACTGTGAGCTCTTATCTTATTAGGTAGTCTTAACGTTGTACCTTATCAAATGTCTTTTGGAAATCCAAATTCATTATTCCGCTTTATCTATCCCTGCTTGTTACCACCTCTAAAAAATTGTCAGGCATGTTTTCTTTGTGAACCTGTGCTGACTCTAGTTGATTTTATTATGAATCTCTAAATGATCTGCTATTACATCTGTCTGTCTTCTGCTGTACTGGATATTTCACATCCTCAGTGCCATTTTAATCCCAAGATGAAATTCCAACCACTCATCCAAACCATCATTAAGAATGCCCATCTCCACCTCCTGAACATTACATGACTTTGCCCCTACTTCAGCTCATCTGCTGCTGAAACCCAGCCTATTCACTCACTAAGGCTCCATTGTTCTCTATGGAAGAAAATTCCAAAGCCTTTGAACTTCTTAGAGAATAAATTCCTCCTCAATTTCATCTGAAATGGGAAGCCCCTTATCTTTAAACTGCATTCCCTAGTTCTAAGTTCCCCCACAAGAGGGAACATCAAAACTTTTATCCAGGATCTTATACATTGCAACAAGGTCATCCCTCATTCTTAGAGACTCAAATTAGCATTGGCTCAAACTTTCCAAATAAGGTTGATCCAGGAATCAACCTAGCGACCTTCCTCTATGCTGTTTCCTGTACAAGTATATTCCCCCTTCCAAAAGGACAGCAAAACTTTTTAGCATACTTTTAGTTGTGAGCTCATCAATGTGCTGTATAGTTGTAGCAAGAGTTCCCTTGAACTGCAGCATTGTGTAGTTTTTTGCAAATAATATTCTGCTTTTCTATTCTTCCTGCCAAACAGCACAAGCTCATCTTTCCACATTATAGTCCATCCGACAAGTTACTGCCCACTCACTAAAATTACGTGTATCCAGTTGCAGACTGTTTGTATCCTTCTGATTGCTTGCTTTCCTGTCCGTCTTCATATCGTCAACAAACGTGGCTACGATACAGGACTGATGCTGATAGACCACCCCCAAAACCATCAACTCTATTTTTGCGTAATAACTCTCCATGTGGCATAGTTTTGAATGCCTTTGGAAATTCAATTACACCACTTCTTTAAGAATAAATTTTAGTATTTTCCCAATGAAAGATGATAATCCAAATGGCCAAAATAGAGCCAGTATTTTTGGCTGCTTTCTGTCTTCCACCATCTTTGAACAGAGATTACAGTTGCATTTCTACAGTACACTGGGATCTTTCTTGGAAATTTTCGAAGATTACAACCAGTCCTTGTTTTTGTTTTGCCTTGCTGCTGCCTTGTACTCTTGATTGGTAGTCACACATCTGGTGTTGATTTATGAGTAGTGTGGGAGTGGCCCATGTTTCATACAGTTCAACTGCTGCTCATTTTATGCTGTGCCTGTTGTATATTCCTCCTGTTTTGTGGGGATGTTATAATTGGAATGTTAAAACTGCACTACTATCTTAATCATAATCAAGTATTTATTGAGCAGTTGGTCGCAAAGCATTTTTAATGCTGGTTACTCACTTAGATTTCTCTTCACCTTCCGTGTCTGGGAACTTGTTTAACCCCTAGGCAAGTTGGCTAGGTACATTGACATCTAATTTATTTAGTGTTCTTGGAGCACATTGAACCGTGAGAGTCCTGGTCTGTGTCATATATTTTACCTGTCAATTTTACTATTATTGTATTCTGTTTGGCTTCATTTTAATAGATGGGACAAACTAAGAGTGGCTAAAGCTGAATTCGCACTCTCAAAAATGGGTGAAATTAGGTCGGGTCAACAGGCTAGGATTTCAAAATGCTGAAATAGGAGCCCGACTTGCCCTTTACCATTCCTGACAGAGGTGAGACGAAAAGCTGGTGACCTGTCTGCTCACGTGGGAGATGGATAGATCATTTAAATATTATTTAAGTGAGGTTGCCTCCCTTTAATTTAACAATCGTAATTTTATCTCATGTCAGCTGGGTTTTCCTTTCTCAGGATATCCAATAGGTGCAAAAACTTCATCCATATGCTGCTCCAGCCTCACTCCAGAAACTCAATACCATCTAAGACAAAGCATTCCACTTGACTGGTAACCTGTCCTCTCCTTCAACATCCTTTCTCCATCCATTGACAGAGTGGCGGCAAGGCATGCCATCCGTGAGATATACTGCAGTACCTCACCAAAAAGGATCCTTCGCAAGCACCTCCAAAACCTGTGACTGCTACCATCTAACAGTGCAAGGACAGCAGATGCATGGTAGCACCACCACCTTGTGGAGACAAAGTCCCGCCTTAACATTGAGAATACACCGCTTTGTGATTTGTGGCATTTCCACCGTGGGACATACTTCGAACAGATCTAGCAACTCAAAACTAGGCCATCAGCAGCAGCAGAATTGTACTCCAGCACAATCTGCAACCTCATGGCTTGGCATATCCCCCACTCAACCATTAACATCAAGATCAACTTGGCTGAATGGAGAGAGCAGGAAGTCATGCCAGGATCAGCACCAGGTTTCCTTTAAAATGAGGTGTCAATGTCATGAAGCTACCAAACAAGGACTACTTACATGCCAAACAGCATAAGCAGCCAAATCAAGCTGTTCTAGTACAGTTACAATACTGGCATCTTCCTGAAAATATGGATAATTGCCCAGGTTTTCCTGCACACAAAAAGCAGGACAAATCCAACCGAACCAAATATTGCTACTCTTGATCATCAGTAAAATGAAGGAAGATATCACCAATAGAACTATCAAGCAGCACCTGCTCAGCAATAACCTGCTCACTGACACCCAGTTTGAGTTTTGCCACAGCCACTCAGCTCCTGACCTCATTACAGCTTTGATTCAAGCACTGAATTTCAGAGGTGAAGTGAGCACCCTGGACATCAAGGCCACATTCGACCCAGTGTGGCATTAAAGAGCCCTTGCAAAACTAGAATCAATGGGAATTAGGGGCAAACTCACCTTTGGTTGGAGTCATACCTGGCACATAGGAAGATGGGGCTGTGGTTGTTAGAGACCAGTCATCTCAGCTCCATGACATCTCTGCAGGAGTTCCTCAGGATAGTGTCCTAAGCCCAACAATCTTCAGCTACTTCATTAATGACTATCCCTCTATCAAAATGTCAGAAGTGGGGATGTTCGTCGATGATTGCACAGTGTTCAGCACCATTCACAACTCCTCATGTCCTGAAGCAGTTCATGTTCAAATGCAACAAGATCTAGATAGTATCCAGGTTTGGGCTGACAAGTGGCAAGTAACATTTATGCCACAGAAGTGCCAGGCAATGACCATCTCCAGTAAGAGACAATCTAACCACCATCCCTTGACATTCAATGTGTTCACATTCATGAATCCCCCACTATCAACATCCTGGAGTTGCCTTTCACCAGAAGCTCAAGTAGACTTACCATATAAATACAATGGCTACAAGAGTTGGTCAGAGGTCAGGAATACTGTGGCAAGTAACTTACCTCCTTATTCCCCAAAGTCTATCCATCATCTATAAGACACAAGTCAGTAGTGTGATGGAATACTCCCCACTTGCTTGGTGGATGCAGCTCCAACAACACTCAAGAAGCTTGACACCATCCAGGACTAGGCAGGTTTCTTGGTTGGCATCACATCCACAAGATTCTTCTTCCTCCACCACCAGTGCCCAGTAACGGCAGTGTGTGCTATTTACAAGATGCACTGCAAAAACTAACCAAGGATCCTTAGAAAGCACCTTCCAAATGCATGGCCACTTATCTAGAAGGACAAGGGCAGCAGATAAATGAGAGCACCACCATCCGCAAGTTCTCTTCCAAGCTACTCACCGTCCTGAGTTGGACATATATTGCCGTTCCTTCACTTGCTGGGTCAGTGTCCTGGAATGCCCTCCCTTAGGGCATTTAGTGGTCTACCTACAGCACATTGCCTGCTTTATTTGCTTATTTGTTTTGAAAATGTTGTAATTGGCCACCACCTTGAGTCACTGCCATCTTCATTATTCTTTGTTGTGGTTTGGTTTAATGCCACTGACTAATTTGCTAGGCTACTTCAGAGGTCAGTTAACAGAGAATCATATTGTGGATTCTTAACCCCATTTTACTGACTTTTTCCAGTTAGAAACTAATTAACTATCGAGGCTCCCATGGAGGTGGAATGGCAAAGCTGAATGTTGGAAAGAACTAACCCTATTTTCTGGTTGGTACCTGGTGCTGTTGGAGATGGAGTTGTGCGGTGCCGTGTTCTAAGTAAGTTTGATTTGTCACTCTTGTAGATGAATCCAACACCATTCACCTGAAGGTGATCACCCAACGGAGAGACCAGCCTGTGGTGCAAGAGTATGATGTTCCAGTATTCACTGAATGTAAAGAAGATTTTATTAAAATCCACTGGGATCTGACTACACAGCAGGTGAGAGGGAGGTCATAAGTAGAACGGTATGTTGTGTCTGAATGCTGTAAATATGTGAAAACCTGACTCTGCCAGAAGTGTATACTTTCCAAAAGAATCTCTAGGGTCAAAGAACTACTCCCTTACCTGGACATTCAGAATGTTAGTAGAAGTTGTAGTTGAAATATACACTGCTCTGGTCAGACTCCCATTCCTTGAGTAGCAGTCAATGGGAAAGGAGAACATCCATCCATTGAAGGTTCTTGGAGAGGCTTGGGACTAATCCTTAATGTCTGGATTATGAGAGACACTGGGGAAGTTTGAGTTATAGAAAGCCTTTGTCTGTGAAGCAGTCTTATGCGAGAGGCAATCTGGGATATAAATCAAAATACAGAAGGTATTTCTAGTCAGGTTTTCATCTTCACCATAGTGCCACACCAGCTCTTATTAAAATTACAAATGGCATCCTATGTGACTACAACAAAAGTTGACTTCCTCCACCACCCCTCACCATCCTTCTTGGCCTGTCTGCAGCTTTTGACGCAGTTCAACACACCTTCCTGCTCTAGAGCCATTCTTCACTGTTGTACAGCACTCATGGTTTCATTCTTATCTAATTACCTATCTATCTAGATGATGACTTGCAATAACTTTTCTTCCTGATTTCACATCATTTCCTTTGGTGTGTTCCAAAGATCTATCTTTTTTCCTTCCATGTTGGTGATGCATTCAACAACACAATGTTAGTCTTCAAGTGCACTGATCACACCCAAACCACCTCATCACCACCTATCTCAACTCCTCCATTGTTGCTAAATTATCAGATTCATGTTATATATTAATGATCTGAACGAAAGGACTGAGAGTGTTGTTGCTAAGTTTACAGATGACACAAAGGTAGGTGGAGGAACAGGTTGGTTGTATTTTTAAGGAAGTGGGGAGGCTGCAGAAGGAATTGGACAGGCTAAGAGAGTGGACAGAGAAGTGGCAGGTGGAATACAATGTGGGAAAGTGTAAGGCTGTGTGCTTTGGCAGGAAGAATGGACATATGAACTATTTTCTAAATGAGGAAATGCTTCAGAAATCTGAAGCACAAAGGAACTTAGGAGTCCTAGAACATAGAACATAGAACATAACAGCGCAGTACAGGCCCTTCGGCCCTCGATGTTGCGCCGACCTATGAAACCAATCTGAAGTCCGTCTAACCTAAACTATTCCATTATCATCCATATGTTTATCCAATGACCATTTAAATGCCCTTAAAGTTGGCGAGTCTACTACTTTTGCAGGCAGGGCATTCCACGCCCTTACTACTCTCTGAGTAAAGAACCTACCTCTGACATCTGTCCTATATCAATCACCCCTCAATTTAAAGCTATGTCCCCTTGTGCTAGCCATCACCATCTGAGGAAAAAGGCTCCCACTGTCCACCCTATCTAATCCTCTGATCATCTTCTAGTTCAGGATTCTCTTAGGGTTAACATGCAGGTTCAGTTGGATTTGTTTTGAGAGGGCTAGAAGATGTACAGCCTCAGGAGTACGAGGCCCTGATCAGACCGCATTTGAAATATTAAGAGCACTTTTAGGCCCTGTATCTGAGGAAGGATGTGCTGGCCTTGGAGAGGATCCAGAGAAGGTTCACAACAATGTTCCCAGGAATGAAGTGCTTCTCATATGACGAACAGTTGAGGACTCTGGGTCTCTACTCAGAATTTAGAAGGATGAGTGGAGGATCTCATTGAAACTTACAGAACACTGAGGGGCTTGGACAGAGTGGATGTGGAAAAGATGTTTCCAACTGTAGGAGAGACTAGAATCTTTTTTTTTTGAATTCCTATAGTGTGGAAACAGGCCATTTGGCCCAACGAGTCCATGCAAACCCTCTGAAGATCATCTCACCCAGAACAATCCCCCTACCCTATCCCTGAAACTCTGCATTACCCATGGCTCACCCAACTTGCACATCTTTACACTGTGGGAGGAAACCGCAAACTGTGGGAGGAATGTGCAAACTCCACACAGACAGTTGCCCGAGGTGGAATTGAACCCGGGTCCCTGCTGCTGTGAGGCAGCAATGCTAACCACTGAGCCACTGTGCTGCCCCTAGAATCGGAGGGCATAGCCTTGGTTTGAAGGGACAACCCTTTAGAACTGAGATGAGGAGGAATTTCTCCTGCTAGAGGTTGGTTAATGAGTGGAACTCATTGCCGCAGAAGGTTGTGGAGGCCGTCAGTAAGTGTATTTAAAACAGACTGATTTTTGATCAGTAAGGGGATCAAAAGTTACGGGAGTAAGGCAGGAGAATGGGTTTGAGAAACATCAGCCATGATCGAATGGTGGAGCAGACTTTATGGGGTGAATGGCCAAATTCTGCTCTTATATCTTATGGTCTTATGCTAATCCAACATCCAGTACAGGATAAATAGAAACTTCTTCCAGTTAAACACTGGGAAGCTGGAAGTTTTGGTTCTGCTCCAAACTCCATTCCCTAATTACCAATGCCATCCCTCTCTCTGGCAACTTTGTCACATTTTATCGAAGGTAAGCTTTAATCTCATACCAGTGCCATAATATTTCCTGTTTCCTCATTATCTCTAGACTTGACTTCCTAATGTGTTCCTGACTGGTCTGCCCTGTGTAAACTTGAGTTAATCCAAAAGACAGCTGCTCGTGTTTTAACTCTCTGCAAATTCTGTTTCCCATAATCCCTGTACTTGCTGACCTACACTGGCTCCTCATCAAGCAACATCTTGACTTTAAAATTCTCCTTGGTTTCCAACTGCCTATCCCTTGCCCTTCTCTATCTTTGTGACCCACTCTAGACCCTCTGAGACATCTGCACTCTTCAAATTCTGGCCATCCTTATAATTATTCCACAATTGGTAATGAGCCTTCGGATACCAAGCCTCCAAGCTGTGGAATACTATTCCTATACCCCTGTACCTCCCCTTCCTCCTTTAAGACACTCTATTTTGGTCATTTGATTTAACATATCCGTATGTGACTTGGTGTTGTACTTTGTTTCATGATGTTAATGTGAGATGGTTCATTAAGGTGCTATATAAATACAAGTCAGTAGGTAGAAACAGTAGTTAAGAAGCTCATAACTGGAAATTCTTATTCAGACACGGTGACCAACACACAGAAGGACTCCAGCATAGTGGAGGTATAAATTCTGGAATCATTCAAGAAGTAATGGATGCTTCAATTTGTGGGACAATGAGATCTTTCTGGACAAGCAAACTAAGGCCTTCCACGTCCGTAAATACCATGTGATTTGAAGACACAACTTAATGTTTTGCCATTTTTTGCTGTTACATGAGTATGTCACCCTGTTTTTGAATGAATCAAGCACCAAGCTGTCATGGGGAATCACTCAGTTTCAGTGAGTGGCTGACCTTGTGGTTTCTGCCGTATCACTGTAACCAGCGGATGAGACACAGCCTGTGTCATGTGCATCGTGCATACATCAAGCCTCTGTTAAAAATGTCAGCTTTATCTGCTTCAACCAAATCACATGGCAATGTTTCACCTTTTGCATCTGTACAGAAATGTGCTAATGTATCCTATGACAGGCTGTTAGAGACGCCACTGCATACGTAAAGTAATGCAGGAACATTATAAAAAGGAGCAAGAGCTGCCCCTTGAGCCTGCTTCACCACTAATGCCTGGTCAAATGGACAGCAATTATTCAGTGATGACTTTGATTGAACAGCTGTAATAGTGTTTTTATGCTCAGTGTTGGCTGATTTTGTATCCTTCAGATTTTGCCATACATTGATGGATTCCGTCATATCCAGAAGATCTCTGCTGAGGCAGACGTGGAGTTGAACTTGGTGCGGATTGCAGTGCAGAATTTACTGTGAGTAGCACTGAGCAGTATGATGAAAGGTGTCTCATAAAAATATAACTTCTGGAGTTTGGATTTTAATATAGTGGCATATGGTACCAGTTACTATTCTGAAAGGTTTAAAAAATAACTAGACAAGACAGCCCTTCTGGAACTATAACCTAATCCAGTACGTTTCAAAGAGCAGGACTCCTGGAATGTTAATGAATTTTTTTTACTGTGGCAGATTACAACTTGTGGGGTAAAAGGCCATTAGCATATTTTTGGGTCAGGATAATCGAGGATTGATTTTAGCTTAGAAAATCCATAGATTGAAAGTTTTTAGGACATTTTAAGAGATGCAAGTACAGTCTCTCTCATAGAAATGAGTATAGAACAGTTGAGGGAAAGTACAAGTAACTCTCTAGTTGTGCAATTTCCAGACCCAGATTGTTTGGCTAGAAATCTGTAGGTTATTAGGAGCTGAGAAAGACCAAGACATCAGTTTTGAGAATATTTATGCAAAAAGACTTCACGGTTCACAGGTAAGAACTGGGGAGAATCAGTTAAGTTGAACTTGAAGATCTGACAGCAAACTGTAAAAGAAAATACAGTATAGAAAGAGGCTATTCAGCCCATCGTGTCTACACTGGCTGAATAAATTAGTCGGTCATTTTAATCCCACTTATGAATTCCTGGATGGTAGCCTTGCTGATTACAGTGTTTCAAGTGCTGATCCAGGTTCCTTTTAAATGAGTTGTGTGTTTATGCTTCAAAAGTAATTTTGTGGGATATTTGTCAGATCTGTGTTCCTGTATTGAATAGTATTGGAAAACAAGATGACGCTTTTGTTCTGCTATGTGTTTTATGAGCTTTCAAACTGTGTTCTATATTTAGATAGCTTGGTTTTGTTTTTGTATTCTTTGTAATAAACCTCTGTTGTTCAAGAAACTCTGCAGGCTTCTATGACTGAACTAGTTTGTTCCACGTTACCTTTCGGATTAGCTACAGTTAGACCAACAGAGCTTTAAAGGGAAAGTCACCTCATTTAATACATTTTACCAGCACCTTTTCAGTGTACCTGGCCTTTCTGTCCTTGTTTCTATGTTGTGTTTTCAATGTGCTGATCAAAGTGAGACTTGTTAAGAGGTTTTAAATCAAGTACTTTTCTGTTTTTAGGATGCACTGTCAGTTCAGGTATTGCCTGGAATCTGCATGTGACAGGAAGACAAACACTCTCAGGCTAGGGTCAGCGTGAGTTGGATACAAAGTAAAGCTTTATCTTTCTACACTGTTCTATCAGACGCTCATAGATACAGCTTGGGTCAGATCTGGTGTTAAGCTCCTTCTGCTCAGTTGCCATCAAACACTCCCAGGGGTAGATACACTATCGGTTATACATGGAGTAAAGTCCCCTCCACACATTCCCAGTGTGCGATCCCAGGGCAGATGCAGCTGATGTCAGATATAGTGTAAAATTCCATCAAACACTCCCAGGACAGGTATAGGCATGGGTTAGGTTCTGGATATGGCACCCTCTTTTCTATCCCATCAATTGTCCTGA